GCTCCTTCCCGTTTCGGGCCGAAAATGTCTCAACCTCGCGACTCCAGCGCCCCAACGCTCCTTCCCGTTCGCATGAGAACACACAGCTCCCGCTTCCGGGACCCGGCGGAAGTCCCGCCCCGCGCGCTCGCGCGCCCGCGCACCCACACACTTACCGTCTGGCCCGCCGACTGGTGCTCAGCGCCCGGGAGAGCCTTACGTCATGGCGGTACCGCGTTCCGATTGGCCGTTTGCGGCTCCCGGTCCGCCCCTCCTCCTGGCGGCTCGGAGCGCGTGCCCCTCCCGGCAGCGCCTGTGATTGGCGCGGGCGCGCACGCAGCCACGCCACGCCCCACGCACGCAGCCCCCGCGCCATCCCGCGCACGCTGTGTGCTCCACCCCCGCCGGGACCTGAGGCGGCGACGCAGCCGCGGGGGACCGCGACCCGCCCCCTTTAATCCGGGACCAGGATCCCCTCCCTGCTCACCGCGGAACCGCGACTCCCGCTTCCCCTTCACCTCAGGACCCCGACCCCCGCCCCCTCTCTCCGAGGCCGCGACTCCCGCTTCCGCTACACCTCAGGACCCCGACCCCCCGCCCCCTCACTCCTGGACCCGAACCCCCTCCCCAGTGCTATCTTGCTGTCCCGCGTGGTCGGGGTCAGAAGAGCCCCCTGAGCGCGCTTGGGAGAAGAAGGGAGAAGGCGGTGTCGCCTGTCAGTGGAGCAGGTGCCCTACATTGTCCGCGACTTCAGGGGAAATGCTGAAGACTCCGGGCGTCTTCCCAAAGACGGGCATGGGCTACCCTCCCCAAGTGGGGAGAAAAAACTCTAAGTATGTTCACCTCCTTTTGGCTTGCTGCCTGGTTCCCTGTGTACCTGCTCCTGCTGGTTATTGATTGTATAGACATACGGATGAACTAGAAAGGCTTCTCCCGTCACTTCATTCCAGCCTCATCCGTGCACCTGTGCTTCTTACCTGTTCCTCCTGAGTATCCAGATGCCGGCAAGACTGTGCTTTGGACTTCCGTGTGTGATTGCCTGGGAGGATCACAGATTGCCTTCAGTGTTGGGTGTCTGCTGCTCTGGGATACGTTTTCACATCCTGGCTCTGAGAAACTTGCAAGTTCAATAGTGAGATTCATAGCAATGTCTTTAAAAGACAATCACGTGAGACTGAGATTTCCTCTAATATCAAAACCACGTACGTATTTCAGGAAAAAAAATCACGTTAGAATGCATTCTCCAAGAGAAACCGTTGGATGTGTTGCAGAGCCCCTCTGCGGTACCTCCACTTGTAACTGCTCAGACTGAGCGGCCTGCTCTTGGGTCAGGAAATTGGCCAGAGGCCCAGGGATGTGGTCCACGTTTGAAAGATCAGGAATTCTCCGAAGTTGGTAAGTTAGACTTCCATCTTTTTTTGCTTCTGTCCACATTCTGGCAGACATGTCGATACACAGATAAGTTCCTAAGTCACAAAAGAGACTGAATGGTATCAGAATACTTTATATTGAAACGACGTCTCCTTTTGTTTAGACTGTGGGATCCGTCCTGAACAATCAAAACTGGTTTTTTGTTACCTGTGATTTTTTGTTTGTTTGTTTTAAAAGAAACATCCATTTTCACCTTGGGATGCAAAGTTATAATAAATCAAATTTTTATGGCATTTCTACTTAGAAAGAAAAGAGCAGGTTTTGAAAACCACTTCCCATGTCAAGCAGTTCCAAGTTCTGCCCCTCCTATCTGAAAACGATTTCTTTCTCCCACGCACGATGGTTTTGCCTGCTGTTACTTCTCTCCCAATTCGCTTTCATGGCATCCCAGCTGATCTCTGCTTCCACGGCCTCACCACACCAACGCCAGCACACATTTCCTTTAAAGCCTCTTTGCCATTCCTTCTGAGTCAGAACTTGTTGGTTGCCCCAGAAGGAGAAGTTCAAGTGTTTTGTGGACTGAAAGGCCCTTCACAAACTGGCTGGCCAGCCCCCCACATCTCCTTTTCTGTGGTGGGGTTAGACACCCTAACCTTCCAATCACAGTCTCCTAACAAGCTTTTCTGCAGACCTTGGGGTGGTCTCTGTGTGTGGCAGTGAGTGACACGTGGGTTTGGCACTCTAGGACAGAGCTGTGCACTGCAAGGCCAGGAAACTGGCAGTTGCTGCAGCGTATGACAAGTCCTGTTAGAGAAGAGAGAACAGGATGGGGAGCACTGGCCCCCAGATGTCGGCTGTGCGTGGGGTCCTGTGTGGAGGTCTCCCCGTGCCTGGTCCCTGCGCACTTCGGCCTTTCCTGTCCTTCATCTGTGCTCTTCCTTCTGCCGGAAGTGTCCTGCCTCTGCTTCCACTTCTGGTAAAATCTGACTTATTTTTCTTGTTACAGCTCGGTGTCAACCATTTAAATCTTTTCCTTTCAGAGAGTTGGTTTCCTTTTCATGTCATCATAGCACTGTGTTCGCAGCTCTGTTAAAGCTGTTATGATGCTCCATTGAAGACTGTCACCCTGACCAGTGGTGATTCCACAGGGGCAGAGACCACCATGGTGACATCTAGCACTGGTGTGCGCGCACACGCATGCGTGCACAAGCACACACGTACGTGGGTAGGCATGCATAGTACCTCCTTGAAGATGTCTGTTGAATTGAACAGTGAAATAGCAAGACATTTTTCTCTTAAAGGCCTGAATTTCAGCTAATATCTGAGGACATTGTTTTCTTTAATTCTACTGCCATTTTCTGTGAAAAGTAAATACTTTTTCTCCATTGTGTATATCATCATTCAAAATTACCTTATCTGGATGTTAGCAAACTCATTTGTAGCTTAACCACACTGCTCAAACTTTATTCCTAATGATTTAGAACTATAACTAAATTGTCACCAAGTCCACCTCCCCCTCAGGGGCGGTACTGAGTGCTGGGGCGACGGCACACAGCAGCACAGACGTGAGACAGGTGAGCACTAATGAGGGATATTGAGGAACAAGGACTCCTGTGGGGTGTGCCAGCCTGAAAAGGAAGCAAAGAAAGTGGTGACTTAAGCCAAGACTAAAGAGGCAATAGTGGAGGGGCTGCCAAGAAAGCTTTCAGCAGGGAGGGAGAGGCCAGTCCTGATCAGAGAACAGAAGTATTTGAACCTGACAGAGCAGAAAACAAGTTGGGGAGGAGAGTGGAGGGCACAAGAGCCTGGAGGGGTAAGTGAGGCAGGGACCCAAGGGTCTTGTAAGCGCTTAAGATGTTTAAATGTGATAGTGAGTCGAGACTTTATTAAGAGGGACAAGGGGGCTCACTAGGTTTTAAGCACTATTATCTCTGGCCTCAAAAAGCCATCCAAGTAGAAATGCAATAAGGAAGTAACTTAGGCAGATTAGGTGGAAGTACCAAAATAAAAATGGCAGTAATACATTAGAATACTTTGAAAAGGAACCCGTGAGTTCTTACTAAGCATTATAAGTAAATAAGTGAGGTGAGGAAGGAAAAGCGAAGGCTGTGGTTTACAGCAGAACGCTGACAAATACACGGAGAAGAAATTACTTTTAAAATTACCATGTTGCAACTGTCGTAATATTGATACTGGCAGGTGTCATCAATGAACACTAAAAATCAGTGGGTAAAAGTTGTTAAATAACAGGCTGTGTTTCCCACTTCCCCGCTTATTAGTTGCTTATTGCCTATTAATTTCAAAGGGGGAGAAGGTATTTTTACAGCAGATAAATGTGGTGGACCCCATCCTAACTGAGGGATGAAAGTTTGTATCCCCAGTAATGGTGGCCTGCCAGCCTCACATGATGTCAGTCATGTGGTGTCCACAAACTACCTATGGGGAATAATCACAAGCTCAGACTAAGGACTTTCTATGAAACAGTGGGCCCATACGCTTCAAAAATATCAAGGCCATAAAAGACAGTGAGAGACTGAGGAACCTTTCTAAATTTAGGGAGACTAAGGATCATGACAACTAAATGCAGTGTGTAGTCCTGGGTTAGGTCCTTGATCCCAGAGTAAAAGTTGCTGTAGTGGACATGGTGAGAATTTCGATATTCCAGTCTTCTAATGAAGGTTAAATTTCTTGAATTGGATTTATTTTATCGATGGTTGTATGGCTCTGTAAGAGAATGTCTGATCTTAGAAGCTAAAAACTGAAGTATTTAGAGGTGGGGGGGTCAAGATATCTTCAAGTTTCTCTCAAATTACTGAAATATATACACACATACTTGCACAGAAAGAGAATATAACAGAACCTTGATTGATGAATCTCGTGGGCTGTGTAAGTGTTTGTAGCTTGCCTTTAAATACAAAGCTTTCAGAGTTTTGGAGATACATACTGAAGTATTTATGAGTGACATGATATTATGTGTAGGATTTAATCCAAAACCACTTGAAGGGAGGTGGTCGGTAGGAATACGTAAGAAGTATGGGGCAAGCTGGTGTGTTGAAAATTGTTGAAGCTGGTTGATGGGTAAGTGGTGCTTCGTGAAACTCTTCTCCCTGCTTTCGTATATATTTTAAATTCCTCATGATAATAAAAACATAGTGGTGAAAAGGAGGGTTTTAATTCATCACAAATATTCCATGAACATGTATTGCTCAAAAAGTAGTCACAGAGAAAGACTACGTTTTCAGGGTACTCCACAGCCTTCCCACTAGAAGAACAAAGGGACCTGGGGAAACCTCTGGGTCTCAAAGCTGCGTGGCCAGGAGGGTGGGACAAAGTTGTGTTGGCAGTGCCAGCCCAGGGAAGGAGGCCGAGGACCTGCAGGGGAGATGCAGGGTTTGCATGGATATGGAATTTTGGAAAGAGGAAACATATCGAGAGACAGTTTCTGAGAAAGTTTTTTGTGTAGTGTGCTGTGTAATACCCCGAGGCCAGCTCATTTATGAAAACCCACAGTGAAGGCATAGGTCAGTCCTTCAGGGCTTCTGTAGTTGGATTGTGTTTGCTTTGAAAGTCACTCCATTCGCAGCCCCGGGTGCTGCCTGGGACGGCAGCTTAAATTCATACTGTTTCTGGGAGCTGTCCTCTGGGATCATTGACCTATATGGTGCCTGTCTGCATCGAGGCAACTGTATCCCGCAAGGCCTGAGAAAAGATTGCGTTTTCACCATGATTGCCTGCTTGTAGCTCTCAAAGAAAGTAGTTGATGAGTCATGAGACATTTTGGAGAGACTTCCCAGTTTGGATGTTTCAGGCAGAGAACCAGATTTAATAAGCATGTTGTTTTTATTAGATTGAGAAAGTTTTAACTTCCTGGAGACCTGGCAAAATGGACATTCTTTTTAGTCCAACGTCCATGCACACTCAGAGTCATTCCTCTAACAGGAGGGAAGGTTGATGTCTAGACATCCTTGCCTTTCTCCAGAGTTCTAGACTGTGCATGGCAACCACCAAACACGCGCCTGTGTTCTTCTACACAGTCACTCCTGCTTTCCCAGCCCCTCTTCCCTGGGCTGGAGCTTGGCCCCAGGCACTCTAGAGTGGGGGCACCAGGGCCGAGTGCCCTGTGGTGGGCTCACAGACGTCTCCTGAGAATGTGCTTCTCTCCCCGGGCCCCCTCTCCCAAGGACACTCCACCTCATTGCCTTAAGAAGTGGACACATGCACCCAGTAATCCAAGGTGGGCAGCTCCCGCTGCTCCGAGGTGGTGGAGGTCTGTCAGGTCGGGGAAAGGAGCCCTGGAGCAACAGTGGGGCTCCATTTTGAACATGAACCACAACCAGCAGAAGGGGCTTAAAGTTTCCCTCCCCGATCCCGGAACTGACTGGAGTTCCCCTAGGCTCGCAGAGCCCCTCCACCTCTGTGTCCCCCCGACCCCGTCTCTCCCCACTTTCTTCTGGCCAGCTGTCTTCCAGGGTTTGCATAACTTAACTCAGACACTTTGACCTCCTTCAGGAAGCCTTCTGTGACTGCCTCCCCACATCCCGTCCCTGGCTGGATCACGGCCCATCCGGGGTGCACCTGGGTCTTACTCTGTTGTGCAGGAGCGCCAGTTTATGTGTCGTTTATCTGCTGCTCGTTATGAACTTCACAGTCCAGGACTCAGTTATCCTCATCATTTTCCACAATGGCTGGTCAGTGGTAGACGTCTGCTGAACTGAGAGCATCCCAACTTTGCTAGCTCGCCTGCCAACCTTTGATAGGTTTCTATCAATTCTTAGTGAGCTGCTTTTATTTTCAATACCATTCACTATAGTGAATCCAGTAGACTTGGAATTCTTATCATTTGTAGTTTTTTTCCCTAGATTCCAGTGATAGCTATTTTTATTTCCTTGTTTCTTTGTTTTGACATTATAATGTTAGATACTATATACTAAAGTTGAGTGAATGGTAATTTTCCATATGTCAGCATTTTTACAATCACACTTTTGTCTGGGTATATTTTAGTCACTTTGATTAGACTTAGGAAA